GCGGAGGGAAGGGTGGTCGGGGTGGTGGAGGTGGGGGCAGGGACGGTGGGTTAGACGAGGGGACCGGGGCTGGTGTCTCGGAGCAGCAGCAACCTCAGTAGCAGCAGAGCAGCCTCAGAAGCAGCAATTGCTGTGGCCGTAGGGACCCCCGCTGCCGTGGTGGCCTGACGGCACTTGTGGTGGTGGTCGTGTTGGTGGGGCGCGCAACTCGGTGTCGGGTGGCGGCTCCAGTGTGGCCACGTGCCAGTACCAGCTTCAGACTGGCCCCCGCTGTGGCACCGCCTTTGACCGTCCCGGTCACACCTCTGCCCACTGCTACCGCCGCCTGGACGACCTCTTCCATCTCTGCTTCGGTCCCACGTCGGAACCTCCTGACTGGTACACCCTGGTGCGCTGCCGTGTGCCTGTCTTTGAGCTTGACATCGATAAGATTGAGAAATGTTATGTATGTCATATATGTTTATGACTCTAGTGTGTCTTGACCCTATTACACGGTGTTGCCTAGTGTAGGTTCCCCTGCTTTGTCAGGCGTAGGACCCCCTGCCTTGTTTAGCCTAGGCTCTACGCTAGCCCTTTCACCGGCTGACGCTACTGCTTTGCTCTCCTTTACGCTCAACTCCGGCACGTTCGCCTGCTTCTTTCGCGACCACACTGCGCTCACGCCACTTGCTGCCCTTGCCGTTGTAGCGCTTGCTGACCCCTCCTCAGGTCCAGTAGTTGCCCGTAGCTCCACTACCCTTCCCTGTCCGGCGGTTCCCTCGGGCTCTCTTACAGGCTTGCATATCCCCTCGTTCTCTAGGAACCTAGTTGGTGTCGGCTGTTTTCAGGACCTCGGCGTCACCATTACGTTCCCTGGACACGAGCGGTTTGCAGTCTGTACCGAGGCCGCCACTAGTGCCCCTCTCATCACGCTCCCCCGGGACCCCGTGTCTGGCATGTTCACCCTAGACACCGCGTTCCCCCTGGTGGGAGCGTCCCCCCAGAACTCCGCGTCCTCCTAGGTTGTTGCAACCTGCTCGTGCCGATCGCTCACCCACTTGTCGCTACTGTGGCACCACCGCCTAGGTCACACCGCACTCCCGCGTCTGCGTCACATGTCCCATCACGGTCTTGTCTTCGGTCTCCCTACATCGCTCCCAGCCCTACCTCCCTCGCCTGCGCCCCCGTGCACGCCCTACGTCGAGGGCCAAATGCGTCGTGCTCCTCACTCCTCCTCGCTCCCCCCTACCACGCCGTGCGTCATTCTAGACCATGCACCTGGACGTTTGGGGCCCAGCCCCCGTCCCTGGCCGCGTCGAGAGCGCTACTTTCTAGTGCTTGTCGACGACTTCACGTGCTACACCACGGTGTTTCCCCTGGAGCGGAAGGCCGACGTGCCTGGCGTTCTTATCCCGTGGGTCGTAGCTGCGCGAGTCCACCGCGGCTTCCCTGTGTTGCGTCATCACTCCGACCGTGTCGGCGAGTTCGCCTCTGGTTGGCTTGGCCAGTTTTGTCGTGCGGAGAGCATCACCCAGTCGTACACCCTGATAAACTCCCCGCAACAGAATGGGGTTGCTGAGTGACGCATCGGTTTGGTCATAGAGGTGGCTCGTACCTCCATGATCCATGCCGGTGCACCCCATTTTCTGTGGCCGTTCGCTGTTCGCTACGCCGCTCACCAACTTAACCTGTGACCGAACTCCCAGTGGCCGCAGGTTTCGCCGTCCCTTCTCTGGACCGGGTTCCCTGGTAACGCGTCTGCGTTCCGCGTCTGGGGCTGCCTTGCTCACGTTCGTGCCTCTGGCACGGACAAGCTCACTACCCACACTGTCCCCTGTGTCTTCCTTGGCTTCCCCTTCGACACGTCTGACTAGCAATTTTACCACCCGCTGTCTCACCGCTTCTTTCACTCGTGTGACGTCACTTTTGACGAGTCTATCTCCTTCTACCCGGCTTTCCCAACCGGGGTCTCCCAGTTTCTCCGACCCTGCTTTTGGTTCCCACTCCCCCGGTAGCCCGTGCTCCTCTCCCTCCCCATCCTGCCCCGTCTGGTGTGTCTCACGTCACTCCCCTCCCATCGGTTGTCCAGGTCGAGAAGTCGGCTGACTCAAGTGGCCCCCCGGCGCCGTTCTCGCTGTCTGTTTCCGCCCCGATGTCTCCTCCTCCGCCGTCGCAGCAGCCACCGCCGTTGCCGTCACAGCAGCAACCGCAGTCACCGCCGCTGCAACTTCAGCCGCCGCAGGGGTCCGAGAGCTCTTGGGGTGCGGGCGTTGAGGAGGGTGCTAGCCCTGGGGTTTCTATCGTGGCTTGTCCCGGTGGTCCTGGGGGTGGCACTGGTGCCGGAGAGGGTTCTCGTTCTAGAGGTTCTAGTTCTTGGGGTGCTAGCCTTGGGGTTACTGTCGTAGCTTGTCCCGGCGGTCCTGGGGGTGGCACCTGTATTGGAGAGGGTTCTCGCTCTGGGGATGTTGGCGTGGAGTGTCCTGGAGGTAGTCGTGGTGCAGCAGGAGGTCCTGGTGTAGGCGTGGAGGTGAAGCAGCAGCAGCAGTCGCCACCAGTATGTGCCCTTCGCCTCCTTGGTCTTCCCTCCCCTGATCACCCGGCTGCACCTCCCCTGCCGCTGCCTTCCCTGCCTGTCTACGGCCCTGTGTTTCCTCCGCCGGAATCGTCTCTGGCTCATTTTCCCCCACATTCTCCTCCAGTGTCTCCTCTTGTGTCTCCTGACCTTACGTCTCCGTCCCACTTCAGGTCTCGATGTCCCTCTCGTGCTCGTCCTGTCTCTCCTGTCCAGCGCTCTCACCCTATGTTGCTTCATTCCCACGCGTCTCGTCCTCCCCTCCTCCCGTCTCCTCATCCGTCGTCGCTGGCTGTCGCTCCGCCTCCCCTGTCTCACTTCCTCCGTGCCGCCAGTCCTCTTGTTCCTCAGGTCCTGGCCTCTCTTGTTACTGACCCATCTGTTCCTGTCTCCAGTCTTGACGCTCTTGTCGCTGCCGTCGCTGACTTTGCTGCTGCCTGCCGCCTTGACTACGCCACCGCTCTGGTCTCTGACCCTACCCATCCTCCATCCGTCAGGGGTGCTCCTACCCTTGGTAGTGACGTCCTAGAGGACCAGTAGTACGAGCTTGTTTTCCTGTCCGAGGCCGCACCTCATCTCTGCTCCGTGCTGGTAGTCACTGTTGGTGACCTAGACGCCTTTGACATCCTGACCCCTCGCACTTACGCTGAGGCGACCTCGGGACTCTGGGCCTCTCAGTGGATAGCTATCATGGATGCGGAGTTTGCATCTTCGAGATCCACCGGCTCTTACGTCGACGTAGTTCCCCCACCTGGGGTGAACGTAGTCAATGACCGGTGGCTCTTCAAGGTGAAGCGCCCTCCTGGAGAGCCGCCGGTGTTCAAGGCGCACTACGTTGCTAGAGGTTTCAGTCAGCGCGAGGGTGTTGACTTCTTCCAGACCTTCGCCTCGACCCCAAAGATGACTACTCTTCGGGCGCTGCTATGCGTAGCAGCACAGCGTGACTACGAGCTGCACTCTCTCGACTTCTCGATAGCTTTTCTTCAAGGCAGTCTGCACGAGCACGTCTACCTGCATCGCCCGCCAGGCTTCACCGGCACCTTCGCCCCGGGGACCCAGTGGCTCCTTCGGCACCCGGTTTATGGCATGCGGCAGGCGCCGCGCGAGTGGCACGACGCGCTTCGTGCTACGTTAGCTGACCTGCAGTTCTTCCCATCCTCTGTAGACCCTTCGCTCTTCGTTTTTTCAGGCCAGACCACGTTCTACATCCTTGTCTACGTAGACGACCTTGTCTTTGCTACTACAGACAGAGACGCACTGGCCTCCGTGAAGGCCGAACTGCTGAGGAGACAAGCTGCACTGACCTAGGAGAGCTGTGCCGCTACCTTTGCCTGCATATCTCCAGGAACTGAGCAGCGCGCACCATCACTCTCACACACTCACACTTGGTGTGCCAAGCCCTTCAGAGGTTCGGTCTTCAGTTCTCCTCTGCTCAGCCCACACCTCTGCCAGTAGATCACAGGCTCTCAGCTCCAGTTCCTGAGGAGTCAGTAGAGCTGGTGGGTTGCCTCATGTACCTCATGACTTGCACTCGTCCAAATCTCGCATATCCTCTCAGCATCCTGGCTCGCTTTGTGGCCACAGGCAGACACAGACCACAGCACTGGTTGGCCGCTAAGAGGGTTTTGCGTTATCTAGCAAGTGCATCGGGCATGGGGCTAGTGCAAGGAGGACACAGGCCAATGGTCCTTACAGGGCACACAGACGCTTTGTGGGCAGACGACGCTGAGATGCTCAGGTTCTCCCAGGACTACTGCTTTAGCTTTGGTGTAGGTGCCATGTCGTGGAGGTCCACACGCTCGTCGTCTGGTGCCCAGTCTAGCTATGAGGTTGAGATCTACGCCGGTGCCATGGCGGCACAGGAGCTCCGCTGGCTGACTTTCTTGCTCACAGACTTAGGTGAGTGGCCTAGCTCTGCTCCGGTCCTGTACGCTAACAACAAGGCCATGATCATCCTGTGTCAGGAGCCTAGACAGGGCAGATCGAAGCACATCCAGCTGCGGTACTTCCTCCTTCGTGAGCTACAGCAGCGCCGCCAGGCCCGCGTAGTACACTTGGCCTCCTGTGCCAACACAGCTGATATCTTTACAATGGCGCTTGCGCCTAGAGATCATCAGCGACACTGTGTACAGCTTGATCTAGTTCATGTAGCTTCTCACCTACTAGGACCTTGATTGTGTATATATCTTATTTTACCTTGACTGGCCTTGTGGCTTCTGTTCCAGTGGCCGGACTAGCATTGTCGCCCTGGTTTGCTCGTCTAGTTTGTACTCTTCTGACTGGTCTTCGGACCCTTGCCTCAGAGGTCGGACTAGTAGTGCCACCTTGAGCTGCGTGTCTCTTGCCAGGCACTGCCCCTTGTCTAACCTAGGGGGTGTGTCAACATATTGATGTATATTGTTATAGGCTAGATAGGTGCATGCCATAGCGAGTACAACACCTAGCAGAAAACTACCCTGGACCACCCTTCCTAGTATAATTTGTTACTCTGAGACTATCAAGCTCTCTGTTACAAGGACATAGCATTCTGAAAAGATCCTAGGGCTATTTTTAGCCCAACAGAGCTGACTGAGCTGAACGCAACATGCAGGAGGGCATTTCTAAGGGCTATACATATTTACAGGATGTTCCAGCCCAAGCTCATACGAGCTCCCAGTCCCACTCATCCTCTGAAGGTGCAGCTGGGTCTCCCAGTCGGCATGGGGCAACACCAGGCACGCCTACTGGAGAAGCAACCAGGGAGGTCACTTGTGCAGCCGGCCTGGTTGGAGGAGGCAGCCTTCTTTGGCCCGCAGGAGCGCCAGTGGGGTGCAGGCAGGGCGTGGTGGCGTCACAGGGGGTGACATCTAGCCAGCGCGCCGTGAACTCACCTTCCGGCTCATGGAGAGTCTGCTGGACAGCTGCTGTGGCAGCGACAACACTGGAGGCGGTCACACGCTGCTGCGACGGAAGTGAGGTGCTGTCGCACAGCGCTGCAAAGACCTGCACATGCAGGGCACGCATGGAGCGGGCACAGAGCAGTGGCGGGGATGCAACAAGCTGAGGGACGCCGTGCAGGCCCTGGAGGAAACAGAAACACGGAAAAGGAGACTGCAGACCAAAAATGAGCAAGGGGCAGTCAACCATCAAGCAGACAAGGCGAGGCTAAGCCGCGTTCCTGCCATTATGTTCGGTCTTTGTACTCAATGATAACATGATTTATGATGGTAGTCTCACGCTTTATGGCCGTACTCACTTGCTTTTTGTCTGTATTCCAAGTTGTAGCGTTGCAATGGCACACGTCATGACTGCATTCATGTGCCCCACACAGCGGAAAGAACACTGCCCTTGAAACATGCTCTTTCCTTCTTACCTGTGAGTCACCCTGACCTGACTGCTTGCACCTCGTCTGCCCGTGCCTCGTCTGCCTGTACCTCGTCTGCCCGTACCTCGTCTGCCCATACCTCGTCTGCCCGTACCTCGTCTATGTCTGGAATGCACGCCTCGTCCTCATCCTCCCCGCTGCCCTCCCCTCCTTCTGCCTCCTCCTCTGCCCCAGGTTGACTGTGGCGACAACCCTTTTCCACTTTTGTGCACGCTCTGTCTGTCTCGGATTGGCTGTACATATTACATGCCTCAGCTTCGGTGGAAACATCGCCTGTGTCAGCTTCGGTGGAAGCATCGTCTGTGTCAGCTTCGGTGGAAGCATCGTCTGCGTCAGCTTCGGTGGAAGCATCGTCTGTGTCAGCTTCGGTGGAAGCATTGCCCGCCTCAGCTTCGGTGGAAGCACCGCCTGTGTCAGCTTTGGTGGAAGCATTGCCCGCCTCAGCTTCGGTGGAAGCACCGCCTGTGTCAGCTTCGGTGGAAGCATTGCCCGCCTCAGCTTCGGTGGAAGCACCGCCTGTGTCAGCTTCAGTGGAAGCACCGCCTGTGGCAGCTACCACCACCTCCGTTGTCCCGCAGTACACCTTGCCATCTCCTGCAACAAGCCTCTCTGTTGTCTCACTTACCACTGCTGCCTCAAATCTCACCGTTGCACCACGTCTACCTGTTGCCACGACCCCAAATGTTGCCTCCCTCCCCCTCACCAACATAAGCGCTGAGTCGCCTGTGCCTCTTGCTGCCCTCTCCCCTGCCACCTGCATGGGTCCCGTCCTTTCTCCGCTAGCATCGCCCATCGCCATGCTGGCAGCAGCAGCAGCAGCGTCTGCTGCGAGGTGCTGGAGGCCCAAGAGCGGTGGCTGTGGCGCCAGTGTGGGTAGGGGCGAGCCCGACAGCAGCACAGCTAGAGGCGCTGCGGCACACACTGCGGCTGCCACATGCGGATCACACACCTCCGGTGCCAAGTTCTCAATGACCTCTTCCTTCTGCACATCCTCTTCCCCTGCAGATTCTCCTCTCCCCTGCTGTTCTGCCACCTCCACTCCACTCTGCCCACTCGCCTCATCACTACATCCCTCTGCTGCCCGCCCTGCCCCTGCCCCACTCTCTTTACTGCCCTCTCCGACTTCCCTGTGGCCTCCCTCCTCGCCATCATTCCCCGCAGCCTGCTCAGTCTCCAAGTTCCAGCTTGCGGGCAGCAGCGCATCCAGCGCACCCACCATCTCCTGCCAGTCGCCCATGGCAGCACCTTCCTCTCCCTCGTCATCGCCCTCCTCCTCCTCCTCCTTGCATTCCTCCACAGCCATTGCAGCCCCCTCCAATGCTCCGCCCACGCCCTTCCCTTCCGTGCCTTCAGCACGCACCTCCATCCGCCTCCTCCCCGCGTCAACGCTTCCCTGCATCCTTGCCATTGCCCCTTGAGCCCGTCCCCGCTCGCTCCCAGCGTCTGCCGTTTTCTCCGCAGCACCAACCACGTCGTCACACGCGCCCTCGCCCCTCCCTGCTCGCGGCACCCCACTCCCGTCCCCGCGCCCAGCAACTGCTGAAGCGCCCTTCTCTTTGCGCAGGCCCTCCCGCTCCCCCGGCCCTTCCTCGCCCGCCTTGGTTGATGAAGCCGCCCCCCTGCCGCCCATTACAACAGACCCTCCCCTGGCAGCCACGGCGGCGGCAGGCGGAGGGCCAGGCTGGGCAGACGACGGCAGAGAGGCCCGCTTTGGCGCGGTGGATGGGGGAGGACCTGGAGGCGGAGAGGGTGGGGGAAAGGAGAGGAGGATAGCAGCAAGGGAGGAACTCGAATGCGGCATTTGGATGCGAGCGCAGGGACGGCAGTGGAAAGAGCATGCGAAGCGCAGCGAAAGAGCGCCGGATTCACTCACCACACTCTGCCGCCGTGCTCGCACCATGATTCGCGCCACTGCCGTCCAAAGCAGCGCGTCCGGTGCTGCGCCCGCCTCCCTCCGCCCCTCGCACGCCCGCCGATCTCCCCGCGGCCTTGGAGCTTCTCTCCGCCCCGCTGCTGGCAGCCACACGCTTGCGCGCAATCGAATGAGGCGCGACCGCAGGCGCAGTAGCAGCAGCAGCGGGGGCGGGGGCGGGGGCGGCGGCGGCGGCGAAGAGGTCGTCGTCCCAGGCGGGCTCGAAGAGGTCGCGCACCAAGTCGCCGTACAGCTGTCGCACGCCGCTGCCCACCTGTGCGACGGACGACTCCACCATGTGCGACGTCTATGGGACACGGGCGACGGACAGGAAAGCGTAGCAGGCAAGAAAGGAGCGAGGAGGAATCAAGGTGCGGCGGGAAGAGTGAGCGGATGGATAGAAAACGGGAAAGGGGGAAGAGATGATGGAAGGGGGCAAAAATATAGGTAGCTGTATCAGGCACGACGATATTTGGACAGGCAATGCTACATGTGCAACGTGTAGCATGGTTGGAACAACGCCGCGGCAGTGAGGATGGAAACAAGCAAGTGAGCTGGGGAAGCACAACCAAAAAGGAGGATTAGGTTCGAGTGGAAGAGAGAAGAGGGAGGTGTCGGAGCCCAATAAGCGGACCCGGCGGCTGGGGAGGACGAGAGAGGTGAGAGAAAGACCTGGGAAAGGAAGGATGGCGGCCTTTCGAAGTCCACTTCTAGGAACGACTCGAGCCTCGAATTCAACTTCTCTAACCACGCCATGCTTGCACGCGAGTTCTAACAGCGCACGAGCCAAACACCAAGGAAGCTCACGCAAGTGGACAGCCTCCAAGCATTTGGGTTTGTGGAGTCAGGAGAGGTGGTGTTTGATGGAAGCAAGCGCATAGCCCTTGTGTTAGGCGGGGTGGGGTTTGAGGGGAGGACGCAATGCAACACAATGGAACGCTGGAAAGGAAGGAAAGGCGGTGCCAAGCTGGCGGCGCAGCGGAGGAACCAATCGCGCGTTCTGGGATGGAGGTGGTAGCGATGATTCACGAAGTCAATATGCGATGGGATATTTGCGGATGCCCCTGACCTAATGAGCAGTGGCGAAGGCAGAAGCTGGGAGGAGTTACAACGAGTGCCCTGTCATATCCATCCAATGAGCGCTCATCTATGTCATGGTGCATCGAATGTCACATCAAGCGTGGACCACGTCACCAGGATTCTTGTCGAGCAAGGATCAGTGCGGCGGAAATGCCAAAGCAAGAGTGCAACCTCGTGACACTCGCCCAAAACATTGCTTGTGGTGTGGTATGGCGTGTAGAATTTTGGGTTTCAACTAATAAACACTCAACTATGACTTGACCAGGCCCTAAGATTATAGGGTTGCATAATGAAGCGCAAAGAGCGTGTGTCGAATAATTGAGCAGCGGGAAAATAATACAATGAGGCAACATCAAAACAAAAGGGATTATGGATATAGCTAGGCCTAGAGCACACGGTCGAGACTCGGCAGAGCTGAGACGTGTGGTTTGTAAATTGTCGCGAAGCGCCCAGATCTTCGCATGAAACCAGGGCTGACGTTTCAAAAAAAGCCACTCTGAGCCAACCCCGTCGAAAAGAGAGAGAGAGAGAGAGAGAGAGAGAGAGAGAGAGAGAGAGAGAGAGAGAGAGAGAGAGAGAGAGAGAGAGAGAGAGAGAGAGAGAGAGAAAAAAAAAAAAAAAAAAACCAAAAGGGGCGACGAAATCGTCTTATGGTTGCGGAGCTCTATTGTACAAAAAAAGACTCAAAACGACTTGTGCTTGTCAAATGTAACTTAGGTAGTTACTGTAGACTATACTGGATTGTGCCTTAGAGGGTACAACACCCTAGTCTATATACCCTTGTACTCACACATTCTAGTTCACTTATTCATTCTAATATGGTATCAGAGTAGGTTAGGTCCCCCCCCTAGCCCACCCACGCTTCCGCCCCTAGGCCCTAGCCGCCGTCTTGCCCTGCTCCTAGCCGGCCCCCTGGCCGTCGCGCTCGTCCCTATCCGGCCCCCCTGGCCGTTCGCGCCCACCCCTAGCCGGCCCCCTGGCCGTTCGCGCTCGTCCCTAGCCGGCCCCTTGGTCGTTCGCGCCTTTCCCTAGCCGGCCTCTGGCCGTCGCGCTCGTCCCTAGCCGCCCCCCCTGGCCGTCGCGCCCGTCTCTAGCTGGCTCCCTGGCAGTCGCGCCCGCTCCTAGCCGGCCCCCTTACCGTCGCGATCGCTCCTAGCCGGCCCCCTGACCGTCGCGCCCGTCCCTAGCCGACCCCTGACCGTTCGCGCCCGCTCCTAGCCGGCCCCCTGGCTGTCGCGCTCGCCCTTAGCCGGCCCCCTAGCCGTCTCGCCCGTCTCTCGTTGGCCCCCTGGTCGTCACGCCCGCTCCTAGCCGGCCCCCTGCCCGTCGCGATCGCTCCTAGCCGCCCCCCCCCCCCCCCCCCTCTGACCGTCGCGCTCGCCCCTAGCCGGCCCCCTGGCCGTCGCGATCGCTCCTAGCCGGCCCCCCTGACCGTCGCGCTCGCCCCTAGCCGGCCCCCTGGCCGTTCGCGCCCGTCCCTAGCCGCCCCCCTGGCCATTCGCGCCCGTCCCTAGCCGGCCCCCTGGCCGTCGAGCCCCTTCTAGCCAGCGCCCTGGCCGTTTCGCGCCCGCTTCTCGTAGGCCCCCTGGCCGTTTGAGCCCGCCCCTAGCCGTCGCGGCTGCTTCTAGCCGCCGTCGCGGCCGCTTCCTGCCGTTCCTCGGCCGCCCTTAGTCGTCCCGGCCGCCCCTCGCCGTCGTGTCCGCCCCTAGCCGCCGCCGCTGCCATCTCCAGCCGCCTCACGGTCGCTCGTGCCGTCGCGGCCGCCCCTCGCCGCCGTCGCGGCTGTCCCTGGCCGCCGTCGCGGCTGCCCCTGGCTGTCGTCGCGGCTGTCCCTGGCCGCCGTTGCAGTTGTCCCTAGCCGCCGTCGCGGACGTGTCTACTTGCCGCCCGCCGGCCGGCCCCTGCATTCGCGCCGTCGCCGGCCGGCCGCTGCCTCGGGTTCGGCCCGTTCTTCCCGATCAGCACCGCCCTCCGAACCCCCCCCGGTACCGTACTGCATCGCTTTGCACCACACTGCACCGCTTTGTCCCGCACTGCACCGCACTGCATCGCATTGCAGCGCACTATACCGCACTGCACCGCTTTGTACCGCACTGCACAGCACTGCACCACACTGTACCGCACTGTACCGCACTGCACCGCACTACACAGCACTACACCGCACTGCACAGCACTGCACCGCACTATCCTACCCTACACTGCCCTCTATTATCCCTCATGGCGGCGGTGCTTTGCTTTGACGCTGAGGGCCAGCCGATTGAGTTTGATGCGTGGCTTGCTGACCTCCGTCGCCATCTCACTGGTCAGCGGCAGGATGGCCACTCGCTCTCTGTCCATCTTGATGGTACCCTCCCCTGCCCTGACCCCCCCGCTGCACTGTCTCCTGACCCTTCGTCCGCTGAGCGTGAGTCCGCTGCAGCCGCTGCCCTTGCTCACTCTGTCTGGCTGTCCCGTGACGCTGTTGCATAGCTTGCTATTAGCAATGCCCTCCCCCAGTCCGAGCGACCTCGCTTCAGGTCTATCACCACTGCCCAGGCTTTCCTAGATGCTGTTGTCCAGTGCTATTCCACCCCGCCTACTGCCTCAGTCGGTCGTCTGATCCTCCCCATGCTCTTTCCTGATCTTGCATCGTTCCCCACTGTCGCCGACCTGGCCGCTCACCTGCGCACCATAGACGAGACCTGGCGTGCTGCCTGCACCCCCACACAGCTTCTAGCCCACCAGCCGCCCCTCACCTCTACTCTCTACCTGCTAGCCACCCGCCTCCCTGACCGTCTTGCAACTGCCCGTGACCGCTTTCTTAGCGTCCACCCCGCAGACCTTATCCTCAGTGACTTTGTTGACACCCTGTCCGCTATAGAGGCCCGCCACCGCTTTATCGCTCAGACCAGCGGTACTGTGCCAGCCCCTATCTTTCAGGGTTGTGCCCCCGCTCAGTGCACCTTCTCCGCCGGTTCTGTTACTGTGGCTGAGACTGCCGCTGCCGCACAGGTTTGTCCGGGGAAGGGTCGCCGCCCCAAGGCTGGCCGTGGCGACGGGAGTGGGGGTGCGGGTGTAGGTGGTGCTGGAGTTGGGTCACCTAGTGGTGGTGCTGACGCGGGGACCCTGCCACGTGCAGCCGAGCAGCCGTCTCAGCAGTCGCCGGTGTTGCCGCCGGACCCGCGCCAGCCGCAGAAGCCGCAGCCGCCGCCGCTGCAGCCGTCGCCGCAGCCACAGCAGTCACAGCAGCAGCAGAGGCGGACGAGTTGTCTTCCGCCTGGGTGGCCCGGCGCTGGTGGCAGCGCTGGATGTGGTGGTGGTGCGCGTGGTGGGCTGCCGAGTGGTGGTTCGGGTGCCGCGTGCTGTCAGTACCTGCTTCTGACCGGTCCTCGCCGTGGCTTCGTTTGCGGTAAGATCGGTCATACCTCCGTCCGCTGTTTCCGTCGCCCGGATGACCTGTTTCGTCAGCGTTTCGGCCCGTCGCCCGAGCTCCCAGACTGGCACAGCTTGCTTAGTCGTAGGGTTCAGACGTTTGATCTGGACATGGATGAGATTGTTGCTGCTCTGCATGTGATGTATGCTGATGACTCTAGTGTGCTTCCGTCCTATTACCCCTTGTTGCCTAGTGTAGGCGTGCCTTCCTTAGACTCCCCTGCTGCGTCAGGCGTAGGATCCCCTGCTTTGTTCAGCCTTGGTGCTTCCGTCGCTACTTCGCTTCCGGCCGCCACTGCCGCGCTCTCCTTCACCCTCGACTCTGGTGCTTCCCGATGCTTCTTCCGCGACTCCACCACGTTGACACCGCTTCGTGTCCCTGCCGCCGTCTCCCTGGCTGACCCCTCCTCTGGCCCTGTAGTCGCCCGCAGTTCCACTACCCTCCCCTGTCCGGCGGTTCCTTCGGGCTCTCTCACAGGCCTGCACATCCCCTCGTTTTCCAGGAACCTAGTTGGTGTCGGCTGCCTCTAGGACCTTGGCGTCACCACTACGTTCCCTGGTCACGAGCGGTACGTTGTCTGTACCGAGGCCGCCTCTGGTGCCCCCCTTACCACGTTCCCCCGGGACCCGGTGTCCGGACTGTTCACACTGGACACTGTGACCCCCCAGGCTGGGACCCTCCCTCAGGTGGCTGCGTCTACCCAGGTTGCTACTGCCTGCTCCTGTCGGTCACTCACCCACCCGACTCTCGTGTGGCACCACCGTCTAGGTCACCCTGCACTCCCGCGTCGGCGTCACATGTCACAACACGGTCTCGTCCTAGGCCTCCCTGGGTCGTTCTCTGAGTTTCCCTCCTCCCCTGCCCCACCTTGCACGCCTTGTGTCGAGGGCCGGCTTCGTCGTGCTCCTCACTCCTCCTCGTTTCCCCCTACCGCCGCACCGCTACAGACTCTGCACATGGACGTTTGGGGCCCCGCCCCCGTCCATGGGCCGCGTCGAGAGCGCTACTTCCTAGTGCTTGTCGATGATTACACGCGCTACACCACTGTGTTCCCCATGGAGCGGAAGGCCGACGTGCCTGACGTTCTTATCCCGTGGCTTGTCGCTGCGCGTATCCGTCGCGGTCTCCCTGTCTTACGCCTCCACTCCGACTATGGTGGCGAGTTTGCCTCTGGTGTCCTTGGTCGTTTATGTCGTGCGGAGGGCATCACCCAGACGTTCACCTTGCCGGACTCCCCGCAGCAGAATGGGGTCGCTGAGCGACGCATCGGTTTGGTCATGGAGGTGGCTCGCACCTCCATGATCCATGCCGGTGCACCCCATTTTCTGTGGCCATTCGCCGTTCGCTACGCCGCTCACCAGCTTAACCCGTGGCCGCACCCCCAGTAGCCGCAGGT